GCAACAAAATCAAAACAAAACAAAAAAAAAAAAAAAAAAGAAGAAGAAGAAGAAAAAGAAGGAAGCTTTTGTGTGCTCTCACCTAACGGGCACAATGTAAGGGTGTGTGGCACACCTTCTGGGTGAGGGGCACAACAACAGGTTACTTAACAAACATAAACATTGTAACCTAATAGTTTATACCCTCATGTTAATCTGAAATAAATAAGTAAATAAATAAATAAGAGGGAAGTGAAGTGATTCTCGGAGCCGGGGCCATGATACTTTCAAGGCTCTTCTAGGCAAGATCTCAGACCATGTTCAAGGGCGTGGGGCATCGGCTCCCCCCCCTCCAAAAAAAAGAAAGAAGGCAGCTTGGGCCCTATAACTGAGACGTGCAGATGTAAGGGGAAGGAGCTAGAATCCAGGGCGCCCAGGCCTCTGATCCCCTCCAGCCCCTGCCTACAGACCCTACCCCTGGCCACAGGGACAGTTACTAACTCCTGGGTTGGTGTGAGGATGTCCTGCCCCTTTCCACTTTCAATAATTGTTACTACCACATCATTACATTCAAGTATTGGAATATTTTAGAGTGTATTTCATTCTGAGTGTCCTGGAATATAAAATATTATCTTATTCCTATTGTCTCCCTCTGTGACCCAAGATGCGATTATTGGCCTTTTCTCCTGTTCATCAATTTAAACACGTAGAGAATAGAATAAAATCAGCATCTTTCTAAAGTGACAAAGAAAAAAGCACACCTTAAAATCATTTCATGCAAAATGAGAAATTTTGGTTCAGTGACTGGGAAGCCCAGGGGTGGATCAGCTTCCGGACACTCCTGTGTGACTATTTTACATTGTAAGGTTTAAAGTAAGGTGTTGCGAGCACACTCAGCCGTGGCCTGGACCTCTGTCCTCATGTTCTTTGATGAATTAAGCAAGTCTTTTGGAGTCAGAAAAACCTCTTTCAGCACTGACACAGACTGGAAGGGGGAGAACATCACATCACTTCTGTAATCCTCTGTCTTCGTGTCCATGGAATGAGGGTAATGGCACCTGCCCTGTGGTAGCGGTATGGGGATTAGACACGATAATATGTGAAAAGCTCCTAACACTGTCTCTGATCTGCCTATATCCTTAGCAAATATTGATTCCTTGCTCTCTCCTTTCTTCTCCCCTACATATGGTACATTTTAAATGAGTTCATTTGAAACATAACATTTTAGCCAAACATTAACTCCCTAAACCAAAAGGTAGTTCTGGTATAAAAATACTTAAAGAATATCTAGAGGCCAGGTTCAGTGGCTCATGCCTGTAATCCCAGCATTCTGGAAAGCTGAGGCAGGAGATCTTCAGCTGAGGAGTTCAAGACCAGGCTGAGCAAGAGGGAGACCTTGTGTCTACTAAAAATAGAAAAATTAGCCAGGCACTCTGGCAGGCACCTGTAGTTCTAGCTACCTGGGAGGCTGAATCTCTGGAGGCTGAGGCAGGAGGATCACTTGAGCCCAGGAGTTTAAGATCACAGTGACACAGGACAAAGCGACCGCACTCCAGCTCAGGCAACAGAGTGAGACACTGTCTCAAACAAACAAACAAATAAAAAAGAGCATCAAGAGATCACAGTTTCTGTGGCTGTCTTACACACACACAGGAGAGAGAATTCACTGATAATTTAAATAATTATCAGTATGTTCTGGAAATCTCCTAAGTCACGACTCAGACACTCACTGAGAAGGCAGAATTAAGAAAAATCCACACTAGACCTTGCATGGAATTACAGTTCTATTAAGTTTTCACAAAACTTACAGAAGAATCCCCGAACAGAATCATCTCTTCAATTTTGAAATCTCCAGAGCTCTGCAAACATGTCTAGAAGATGGTTTGAGGGCTGACCAGGGGGTGATGAGCTAGCCGAGGTCACTGACAAGGCTCTCAAGGGCCCCCCATCCGCAGGGAGCTCACTCACACGCTCACTGTCAGCTCGGAGGGTGGCATTACCTCCCTCCCGGCAACTGGAGCCTCCTCGTGCACGTTTGGAAGCTGAAGTGGCATCTCAGAGAAAGCTGAGTGAAGCTGCAGCCCAGTTTATGAAACACTGGAGCATATACATGACTTTGACGTTTAGCCAAACTGCCAGGAAGTAAAAGGCAGAAACAGTGGGGTAGGAATTCCTCTGCTGGCCTGTGAAAGCTTCCCAGAGCTTTAATTCCTGAGAGGGACTTAATTC